CACATCATTTAGAAATAGCTCCAAGATGACAAAGGTGGTTTGTCTCTGGGATGTGGGCATGAGGAGAACTGTCAGCCATCAGAGGGCTCACATTTCATGATGTGTTTTAGTTCCGTGTGATTCTTTTAAAACTATATTGTTTACAATTTTGGTGAGACTAAACATTAAAAAGCCTCAAATGTATATGTAATACCTTGGGCATGATAGATGCATGTGTGCGTTTGCATGAGGATCGGCGTTTTTAAACATTTGGTGATATTTCTGCTACAGTAGTCAGTCGTTCTGCAGTGGTTTCAATAACTGCTGTTCCTTCTTCTACCTATTTATCCCCCCTTCCTTTCATTTGTGTTGTAGTCTTTGGAAAGTTAATTTGGAGCCAGGGGAAGGGAATAATTCAAATATTATGAAATGAGAGGTTATTTGAGCCAAAATGTTATGGGAGAGTATTTTGAGGCATGGGAGGAATAAAGGAATCGAAGAGAACAAGTAAAGGAAGGCAGGTCGATGGTTCTACCACCGGCCTAGTGCCCTGAGAACTCCCCATAATGCAGTTTGCATACTATTTTATGAGTAAGCGTATAGATGCATTAGCAATCTGTCTTCACCCAATCAATGTTGTCTTCGCTGTAAGAATGGAAGCTCGGTATCCCTAGGTCCTGTTCCCAAGAACATTGTAGGTAGCAGGCATCTGGCACCTTCCTTTGCGCCAGACTCCATCTCATGTTGTCGAACGCTGAGTCTATGACAATTCAGAGCGATGCTCTATGACCGGGTAGAATTTCCCCAGAGGGTTTCCTAGGCTGGAATCTTCACGGGATCAGCTCTTCAAGTCTTTTCTCCAGAGAGCTTGCTGATGGGTTTTATCCTCTCAGTTATCAGTTGAGCTCTCAACCCTTGCACCCCCAGGACTCCTTTTTCAGGCTCATAATAGCTCGTTATTTTTATAGATTCTGTGTATATGTGTGTGTGCGCATTGAGGAGGGTGGGGGGCACTTTCTTTTCATTTAAAAATCACCATCACATCAAAACTCAAATTAGTGACCAGTTCTCATACAGGTAGGACTAGAAGAGAGGAGTTTTCATTGACTCTAGAAGGGGACTTAGATAATAATAATAGAAATGAAACTTTTAAAAGCATGTTTCTCCCATTTTTATGTGCATGATACAATGGATGTGTGTATGGATTGTGATAAGAGTTGTACAAGCCCCCAATAAAATGATAAAAGAATAAAAACAAAACAAAAACAATGAGTACGAGAAGAAAATGTTATGAAATTTATTATGATGATTGTACAGCTCTTAAAATTAAATTGTATGTTATGAGACATACATCAATAAAATTATTTTAAAATAAAAATAATGCAATATGAACAAACAAGACAAAATAAAAAAACAACCAAAAGAATGACAATGAAAAAAAGTTTAGTTTCTTGTTTATCTTAAGATCAACTTCCACCATAATTCTCAATGTTTCAGGCATCAAAAGCAAGAGGGTGTGTTAAAACAAGAAGACATCTGAGCCACACCTCCCAGAGATTCTGATTTCTGCAAGTCTGGCAGGAGGCTTGAGTTTGCAGAGCTAACACGTGTTCAGGGGATGCTGGTATCACAAGCCAGGGCACCACACCTTGCGAATCATTGGACTAAAATGTTGCTTATGATTCTTTCATGGTTTCTGAATTCCCCTGTTCACTTTCTCTCTCATGCTTTCAGAACTGTATTACCCTGAATGCATTCACTAAGAATCTCTGATTGAGTTGGCCACTCCATCTTTTCACACAGTTGTATTGACACTACTTTTTTCTAGAGAGATTTTGTTTTGGTGGCAGCTGGTGGAGTGTGTGAGCTCCTCATTGAAGGCTGCCTCTAGAATGCCCTGCATGGACTGCTTTGCTTTTGTCCTAAAATCTTTCCCCAGAAAGGCATAGAGGAATGGATTGAAACAGCTATTGGCAGATGCTAGAGCCAGGACCACATGGTCCCAGGAGACCAGAGCTCCCCCAACGGGAGTTTCTGGATCAGTAAACAAATGTAGGACTCCAAAAATGTGGTATGGAGTCCAGCAGACAAGAAAGACAACCACTACCATTGTGGCCACATGCAGAGTCTTGCCCCGAGACTTGGAGGTGCGTCTTTGTTGCATTTGGCAGATAATGAGGGTGTAACAGGCCACGATGATAGTAAAGGGCAACAAGAAACCCACTGCTAGCCTAGTGATGGTTATTGCTACTAAGGGTGTTGGCACTAGATCGTAATATGAGTATTGGCTAAAATTACCACTTTGATAATAGTAATAAAACTCATCTATGTATAAGAAAGTGCTAGCAGCACTGGGGGAATCAGTAGAGGGAAGAACACTAGAGTTTTTCAGAAAGTCAGTCCTGCGATCCTCACTGGGGAATTCAGGCAAACCCCTAGGAAGACCAGGTGAGACCACTGGAGATGTTTGAGCATGGGGACCAGTGGAAGTTGTCCGCCAAAGATGATCATTTGTTTGGAAAGAAGAAGAATTGAATTTATCATCCATTTTCCCAGGCAGCTGAGCAGTGAAGTTATCAAGAAATCTGTCTTCCAGTGGATCATAGATGGAGTCTGAGTAATCTAATGAACTATGGATGCCAAAATTGTAGCCACACACATCATAGTTGTCCACAGTGGACGTTTCCCGGTACACGAACACAGGCACACACATTGTGAGAGCCACCACCCAGATACACCCACAAAGGAGGTAGGATGTCCTCACGTTGCGGTGATTCTGGCACCAGATTGGCTTGATGACCAAAAGGCAGCGGTCCAGGCTGATGGCAGTAAGCAGGAAGACGCTGGCGAACATGTTAAGGATGATGATCGAGGGGATGAGCTTGCAAAGGAGCCAGCCATAGGGCCAGTATCCTCGAAGAATCAAGTGAGCCATGGAGAAAGGTAGGGATAGGCAGCAGACAAAATCTGCAACCGTGAGGTTGAGAAACCAAACCGTGTTTGCTGTTTGCTTCATCTTTAGGCCCATCACCCACAAGACCAGTGCATTGCCTGGCACTCCCAATAGTAAAGTGAAGCCCATAATGATCAAGGAGAGAATGGTGTGGGGTTCTTCTGAGAGTGGGTAGAGCAGGTCAGTTGAAATGGTCTCATTAGAGAAAGACTCCATTGTTATGCTTCTGAAAAATAAGAAAAGGAAATGTTAAATCTATCAGTATCTCTTAAGATGAGCATATTCTTAGAATCTTAATTTTTTCTCTCTCTCTCATACAATGATGTAGAATTATGAAACAAGAAAGATCTTACATCATTTTAGCTTGTATTTCTCTACTGCATGTTGGACCACACAAACACTCTCTGATAATAAAATGTGGTTATGTGCACACAATGGAATACCACACAATCATCAAAAAGAGTAATTCTTAAATTGTAACGCATATGAATCTGGAGAACATTATGCTGAGTGAAGTAACTCAAATACAAGAGGATAAATGCTATATTATCTCACTATTATAAAAAGAAAAGAATAGGTGTACACCTTGAAACCAGTGATCACTGGCTGTTACCAGTGAGAGATGGGGCTGAGAATGGGGTGAAGGGGAGCTTGCTCTCTAGATAGCAAAATAACCACACCAAACTCATTGGCATTGGGTAGAAATGTCTCTTTGAGTTTCTGAGGCTATACATCTCCATGGGAGCAGAAAGCCTCATCTTTCTCCTGCAGAGCATCGGGTGGATTTGAACCATCGACTTTGTGGCTAGCAGGCCAACTCAGAACCCACTATGCCAGCAGATACCCTCTAGATCAGCAGTTCTCAGCCTGTGGGTCGTGAGCCCTTTGGGGGTCGAACAACCCTTTCATAGGGGTCACCCGATTGATAACAGCAGCAAAATTACAGTTATGAAGTAGCAACAAAAATAATTTTATGGATGGGGGTCACCACAACATGAGGAAGTGTATGAAAGGGTCGCGGCATGAGGAAGGTTGAGAACCACTGTTCTAGATAGTAGATGCTATTCTGGTGTTGGGAAGGATAGCACCAAATGATGGTGATGTGTGCACAGCTTGATCAAGGTCAATGGTTTCCCTAAAAATAGGCAAGAAAAAAGGACATATTGGACAAATACTATAACATTTACAACTGCCCAAGATGAAAGGACATTTTCAATGAATGCTGTAGGAAAACAATAAAAAAATAGGAATATGGTTGCATTTATATGTTTGTATGCCTGCAATTTTATGGGTATGTATATGTGTGTACATGTGGGCATATATAAATATATCTATATGCAGGTCTATATATGTAATTATATGCATCAGTATATATTAAAACATCTATACATACAATTAAAGCACATCAAAACACAAACCTGTATTTGTGTACTTTTTAAGCCAAGAAACCAACTTCACTGTCATTGAGTCAATTCAGACTCATAGAGACCCTATGCAGTACAGGGTAGGACTGCCCTTGTGGGTTTCTTAGACTGTAACTCTTTACAGGCCTAGAGAGCTTCACGGGTTGGCTGGTGGTCTTGAACTGTTTACTTTGTGGCTAACAGCCCAACGTGTAACCCACTACGCCACAGACTCTCTTGGTACTTCTTAGACATAATGAAATACCTCACAAAATTGGAGTATAGGATCTAAAAGCTTAGGACCACTCTATTAATTGGCATAGCCACTGACGGGCTGGAAGAAGGGTTAGCACCATTGGAAAAGATATGTCGATGCCATCTGTACATATTTTCATGCTTTTGGTTGCAAAAGGGCCATCCCGAACCGTCACCAGATTTTTGAAGGCACTGGCCACGGCAAAGAAAGTGCTCAGGCGACTGGGTCCCTGGGAGGACTGCCAAGATGAAGCACCCAGCGACAAGCTGGAAGGTGGGTGGGCTGGACCCACGTAGAGGCGCTTGGAACACAGGCCTGGGGATCTGCTTCTTGGACCCCCGACGGGGCAGTTGTGCCCAACACACAGGCCACCGGGAGTAGGGCTTTAAGAAACAGCAACCCCGATATTCCTGAGATAAAATCTCATTTCGGTTCTGTCAAGTTTCGGAAGGGTAGTTTCCCTCTTTGCCTTCATGTCCCCACCAGGTGTCTCTCCACCACCTCATTTTCTTTTGAGGGGCCGCGGGCGACGGTGGGGTGCGGAGCGCGTGTTTCACTTCTGCTGCGGCAGAGTCCCATTTGAAACGGATACAAAAGAACACCCAGGGCGAGCAGGGAGGAGAGGTGAAGTCCGGGGAGCTATTGGGTGCATGAAATTGTCTTACATTTCTAACTAGAATAGGAATCTTACTTTTAACTCAGCGTCTACGCTTCTGCAAACACATCCAACGGTAATATTGTAATACACATCACACTGTAAACCACAAATTCCCACCCTATACATTCATCGTGTGCTGTACTTTGACCTCTTTTCCGCATAAGAAAAGAGGCATGTCTGGACTTTGCAGTCACGGACTCCTGACGACAAAAACGGATGGCGTGTGAAGTCGCTTCTCAAAAGGAATTAAAACGGCGGTATGATTTATCCTGTAAAGCAATTTTGTAGACATGGGAGCCTTGTTCATTACATAAAAGGTTGCCCAAATCGGATAGGAAGGAATGAAGGTATTTCCCACAGCAGTAAGATGGATAACGTATCAAAACCCTTCACTTCTTGCTTGTATTGTAAGAATATAACTTGTGGAGAATAATTTTGCTATTACATATGCCATATATGCATAAAGAAAATTGGAAAATATAGGTAAAATTAAGGAAATAAAAATATGTCTACACTGGCACAGATAGGAAATGAAAATACGGGGAATCCAGGACAGATGAGCCCCCCAGGACCAGTGGAGAGAGTGGCGATGGCGGGAGGGTGGAGGGAAGGTGAGGGAGAAAGGGGGAACAGAGGACAAGGTCTACATATGGCCTCCTCCCTTGGGGGACGGACAGCGGAGAAGTGGGTGAGGGAGACGTCGGATGGTGTAAGATATGATAAAATAATAATAATTTATAAATTATCAAGTGTTCAGGGGGAGGGGGGAGCAGGGAGGAAGAGGGAAAAATGAGGAGCTGACACCAAGGGCTCAAGTAGAAAGCAGATGTTGTGAGAATGATGAGGTCAACATATGTACTAATGTGCTGGACACAAATGATGTATGTACGGATTGTGAAGAGTTGTATGAGCCCCTAATAAAATGATTATTAAAAAATATATATATATCTACCAGTCAAGAATTGTTACTTTTAATGTAATAATTTACTTATGTATATCCCTCAGAATATTTTCCATATAGATAGATGAATAGATAGATACACACACATATATACACACATATATATAGAGAGCTATATTTAGATATATAAATACATATGGATATATAGGAGCCCTGGTGACATACCGGCTATGTGTTTGGCTACCAACCACAAGCTCAGCAGTTTAAACCCACCAGCTGCTCCACAAGAGATTTTTCTACTTCCATTTTAAGATTTCTAGTCTCAGAAACCCATAGGGGCAAGTCTCTAGGGTTGCCGTGAGTCGCTGTGAGTCGGAATTGACTGCAGTGAGGCTGGAGTTCTTATGCAGATGCCCGAGGGAAAGTAAGAAAAAATATTGCTTCTAGGTTTCCAGTTCATACACAGATTTATTTCAAACAAAACACGGTTAACCATGTCTCTGTGATCGGTAGATGGCTACAGACAAGATCTCTCAGTAAGACACTTGTCCTAGTCCTGTTAGGGTACCTTCCAAAGAAGGTCCTGTTGAGACTGTGGTTTCTGTGGGGATCTGCTGGGCCAGCTAAGTTCAAGGCAGAGAGGCCGGCTCAGGAGGTATGGCAAGTGTTTTGGGGGGCAGGAAAGGGGTCATCTTGAGAGAATTTTTGAAGGGCACACAACAATCACAGGGGCTTACTATGAAGAAGTTGTAGGGAAATGGAAAACTATATTGGTGAGCAAAAGGTTAGGAAAATTGCACCGAGAAATTTTTTTTAATTCAAAAAAGAAAATTTTTTTTGGAGATTTCTCTAGAGGGCGTGCACCCCATTCCTGGAGGTACCGCAATACCAGGTCAATGCACGGAGTGGATGGAGCAAGCTCGGATGCCATCTCATTGCTCCAAAAATCTATTTAATATATTGTCCTCAGATAGGGGACGTATCAGATATCAAACTGATCAGAACCGATACTCCACTTGATCTTAGCCAAAAGGCTGAGAAGCGATAGAATTGTTTTTTCCCCCATCATGACAGCCCACCTGCCCAATCTTTGAAGACGTAAGGGTTGGCCTATGGCAATTTTGTTGGGAAACCTTTCTACAACCTTAGTCTTGTGCCTTCCTACCCTTTTTTGTTCCCTAAATTCAAAGCACATTTAAAAGGAACAAGGTGTATGTGCCTCAAGGAAGCAGAACTGACTCTTCTGATTGTAGTTTACGTGAAGAGCACGTATTTCTTTGGGGATAGTTCGGGAGCTGGAAATACCATTTTCAGAAGTGCATAGACCTAGGCAGAGGATACGTTGAGACACAAGAGCTTCACATTTTGATATTTTTTGTTTAAAAAGGTTTTAAATGATTTTGTAGCAATACTTTTGGACTTACAAGGGTAAGTAATGAATACACAGATTTTTCTTTCTTGTTAAGCAAAATTACATCGCCATGCACATTTTGCTTTAGAAAATCTTCTCTATTTTGCTGCTAGCAGTTTCCACATTACACACTAAGACAGCACCTTAACAAATACCCAGGCTTTATTCCATTTATCACCCACTGTCCAAAAATATCCCTGACAATGCCTTCATCCACGGCAATAACCAATCTAGGACTGCACTTGTATTAGCGTCTCATGCCTCTTTTTTTTTTTACGGTTATTTTATTAGGGGCTCTTATAACAATCCATACATCAATGTATCAAGCATATTTGTACATATGTTGCCATCATCATTTTGTAAACATTTACTTTCTATTTGAGCTTTTGGTCTCTGCTCCTCTTTTTTTCCCCCCTTCCACCCTCGCGAACTCTTGATAAATTATAATTTACTATTATTTTCATATCTTACACAGACCACTGTCTTCCTTTACCCACGTTTCTGATGTCCATGCCCCCGGGGAACGTGGGGTTAAGCCTCCTTTAAGGTTAGCCTAGTTCTTCTTTTTCAAGGACATTGGCTTGCTTATTGGGGTCGCTCACTTTGTAACCTTGTGTAATTTCTTGTGTCTTCTGTTCTTATGCTTCTGCCAAAAGGATTTCTAATGAGCAAACCCAGCCATCTTTTCCCTGGCCTCATCTTCCTCAATATAATAGTCATCGTTTAATACATCGACTCCTTAACACTCTTCTTTTGGTTTCTGTGACAAAACACACACACACACACACACACACACACACACACACACACTCAAGTCATTTCCCATGTGTGACAGAGTAGAACTGCTTCAAAGGGTTTTCTTGACTAGGATCTTTACAGAAGCAGATGACTAAAGACTTCTTTTCAGGCACTGCTGGATGGATTTGAACCACTCACCTTTAGCTTAGTAGTCAAGTGCGAACAATTTCCTGCAGCTGGTCTGCAAGAGAAAGATGTGTCAGTCTGCTTCTGTAAAGATTTATGGCCTTGGAAACCTCATGGGGCGGTGCTACTCTGTTGTACAGGGTTGCTATGAGTTGAAATAGACCTAATGGCAATGCCTTTTGTTTTTTGAGTCTTATAGCTCTCTTGAATAATGTAATATTCCAAATAAAGCTATGCATTATCCATGCCTTGTTTATTTTTATCTGGAATATGTCCTTCATGTGACCCTCTTCATCACTCTATCCATAAACTCCTCCTGTTGAAATCATACCCAATCTTAATATTATATCTTCTGTGACATCTTGTCTAATAACTCCAATCAGAAATTACCTCTTCAGCTTCTTAATTGTGTGTGCGGTCGAACCTCTGTTTATATTCTCATACTCAAGGAGTCCTGGCAGCTTTATTGTTACATGTTGGACTGCTAATTGCAAGGTCAGCAGTTTGAAACCACTAGCCGCTCTGAGGGAGAAACACAGAGTTTTCTAATCCCATAAAAAAAAGTCAGTTTCACCAAGAGCTCAAGTAGAAATGTTTTGGAAATGATGATGGCAACATAAGTATAAATATGCTTGACCCAATGGAGGTATGGATTTTTATAAGAGCTGTAGGAGCCCCCAATGAAATGATCCAATAAATAAATAAATAAATAAGTTAGTCTCAGAAACTCACAGGGGCATTTCTACCCTGTCCAATAGGGTTGCTGTGAGTCACATCAATTTGATGGTAGTAAGCTTTGTTTTTTATTTTCATACAATATCATGTTATATTATTTTAGCAGTTTTATCTATCATTCTAGCTTTAATTTCAGGATAGTTTTCTTAAAAAGTTTTATTAATAAATACTTGCTCAATAGAGTTTAATACAGCACCTTATATGACATAAGGTTAAAAATTGCTTGCATGGGATTTAGGATCATATTTAGGGTTGAATTTTTTTGTTTTCCAAGTAAATTAAAAATCCGTATTAATTTAATTCTTGCTTATGTGGCGCCAATAGTCCCTATGCTGCCATTTCTAATGGCTTTTTCCTTTTTAGTTTTTAATTTTTATCAGACATCACCACACTTACATGTTGGTTTTTGTTTTTATTACGTCATGTGTCTGCCTCACAGCAATCTGAGACGTACAACCTATGAGACATTGCTGACCCGAGCATCCTACCGTTGCTACCATTGCTGCTGTTTGCGTCCATTGTTGCAGCCACGGTGTCAGTCTGTCTGTCTCTTGAAGGGCTTCCTCTTTTTGGTCTGACCCTCTGCTTTACGAAGCCTGATGCCCTTTCCCTGGGGCCGATCTCTCCTGATACCATGTCCTAGGGACATGAGAGAAAGTCTTGCCATCCTCACTTTTAAGGAGCATTTGGGCCCCAGATATTTGTGTGACTCAAAAATAGTTCTGCTTACTGGACCAAATATTGCCACAGGACTATTAGTGGAAGTTAAATAAGTGAGTCATTATATTACTAAAGAAAAAGGAAGAAGAAGAAGAAGAGATGACTTCTATTTCCTTTCAGTGAATTTAGCTAACACCATCTCAATCCTTCTTTCCCTGTTGCAAATGGCAGCTACCTTGATCCATCACCCCACCCCATCACATATCCAACAGGTACATTAAGCCATAAAGAGTCAAAAGATAGAGTTAGACAAGGTTAGTACTGCATCTCCCTGTTTTTGTTTTGACACAGGAACCCAGTAAATTAATTTTTACAAAACCCAAACTAAGTGGATGTTTTTCATTATAAAGAATCACATAACTTTAGCAAAAAGCCCATGGTATAGATAACCAAAGGAGTATCTGTGTGGCACTAAGACTTAAACACTGGACTCCTAGCTGCAAGGCTGGTGCTTCAAAGCCCCCCCAGAGGTGTCTGGGAAGATCAGCCTGATCTGCTTCCGGAAGGTCACAGGCTGAAGATGGCTGAGAGCAGTAGACTCTGTACATGGATCAGTCACCTGTGGTCAGCATGGACTCAGTGACAACTGACAACGTCAACGTTGCTAAGAATGGGAAGACACTGAAGAATGCACAGATTTAAGTAATTACTCTAAAACACAGCAGAATTTCCATGTGAAAAATGGGAGCATTTGAAAATCAACTGTATTTGAAATATTATGTGTTACCGAATTGAGTCAGTGTCTTCAGTTGAAAAAAACATTTCTGTGTTTCAGATTATGGAGGACTTTTCTTTTTAAAATTATTTTATTGGGGGGGGGATTTTTATTTTCAATACTGAGTTGACCTACAGTAATTAAAAAGCTAGGTAAAAGCTTGAAGCTAAAATTCAACTATAATAGGGAACAAAAAGAAAATCCCAGGTTCAAATACTAACTCTAGAATGATGGAATGAGTAACAATGAGAAATGGGCAAAAGAATAGGCAAGCAAAGAGGGAATGAGCAAGGGAACTGTGCATTAAAAAAATAGACATTGATCTGCAAAGCAAACAAATCAAACTCACTCCCTTGAGTCCATTCTAACTCATAGTGACCCTCCCCGGTAGATTAGATCTTCCCCGTTGGGTTTCCAATTCAGCAAGTCTTTAAGGAACCAGCCAGCCTCACCGTTTTTCCGTGGAGGTGGCTGATGGGTATGAAGTGCTGACATTTCAGTGAACAGTCCAGTGTGTAATCCGGGACACCACCAGAATGCCTGCAAAATAAAAGTAATGGGGAAAGTTGGAATTGAAGCCAATTTAAGAGAAGGAAAAATGACATGAAGAATTCATTAATAGTTCCAGAATGAAAAATTCAAACATACAGATAAGTTGATTGTGGGATATTTTGAAAAAATATACGAGGATATGGGGATGAGATGAAAATAAACATTGGAGGAGTAAGTGGAAGTGAATCACTTCCAAGCCATTGTAGTTAATGAACACAACAGGCTTGTCAATATCGACTTTCTTACCCAAAACAGGCCGTAGTTCAAGGCTGCAGCACCAACCTGGGAGTCCCCAGCAGAGTCCCGGCTAGCCCTCACTGCACGACAAGCATGTCCTGAGGTATACTTAAGAAGTCTGCTAAGCCATCCCTCTTTTTCCTCTCTCTCTCTCTTAGTTTTGTGCTAAAGTAACTCTGCAATACTGGGCGCTGTCTGATTTCACAGGAAGGTTTGGAAATGCGTCATTCTAAGCTTACAGATAATGCTTAGATAAGGAAAGTAAGAAAACAGAAGTTAGGAGGTTTTCTGTGAGACACAGAGTATGGCAATAGAGAGAGTGGTTCTGTACAAAGACTCTCACTTCACAGAGTCTTGTTTTGTTTTAAAAATGCCAAACAACAGCCCTATGGGATGAGAGGATGGCCGTAGAGAGTAGCTGAGGGGAGGAATTGACCTGCACACAATTCATTGAATTAATCTTAAACAGCAGCTCTGAAATGCTTAAAGGAGCCCTTGTGATGTCGTGGTTATGCTTTGGCCTGCTAACTGCGAGGTCAGCAGTTCATAAACACCATCAGTGGGAGAAAGACAGGAGTTTCTATTTCCTAAAAAGTTACAGTCTTAGAACCAAGGGTTCAAGTAGAAAGCAAATGTTTTGAGAATGATCATGGCAACAAATGTGCAAATGTGCTGGACACAATGGATGCATGTATGGATTGTGAGAAGCGTACGAGCCCCCAGTAAAATGATTTAAAAATTAATTAATTTAAGAAAAAGAGTTCCAGTCTTGGAAACTCACAGAGGCAATCCCATCCTATGGGGGTCGCTGTGAGTCAACATCGCCTTGATGGCATTGAGTGGGTTTAAATGTTTAATGCGTGTAAAGAACTATGCCATGGCTAAATCAAATGACTTGCATTATGTTCTGATCTCTAAAGATACACAATCTACTGGAAAGACGCACTCGTACACAAAAACTTGAAATGCAAGCCAGACTATAATACTAGAAATGAACTTATTGTCCTTAGGGCTTGTCCAGTCGGTTCTGACTCATAGCAACTGAACGAAAAACTTGGCTCTGCGTCATCCTCACATTTGTTCTTCTCTTTGTTCCCATTGTTGAGTGCACAGTGTCAATCCATCTTGTCCAGGGTCGGCCTCTTTTTAGATGCCCCTCTACTTTACTAAGCATAATGTCCTTTATCAGAAAATGATCTCTCCTGATAATATCTCTGAAGTAAAGGGAGATGAAGTCTTCTCATCCTTGCTTCTAACGAGTGTTCTGGATGTACTTCTAAGACAGATTTTGTTGTTGTTGTTGTTTGTTTGTTTTTAATCATTTATTAGGGGCTCATATAACTCATCACAATCCATACACACATCAATTGTGTCAAACACATTTGTACATTCATTGCCCTCATCATTCTCAAAACATTTGCTCTCCACTTAAGCCTCTGGCATCAGCTCCTCATTCCCCATCCCCCACCCCCCAACCCCCGTCTCCTGCTTCCTCCCCACTCCCCCCCGTCATCATTAACCCTTGATAATTTATAAATTATTATTTTGTCGTATCTTACACTGTCTGACATCTCCCTTCACCCACTTTTCTGTTGTCCTTCCCTCAGGGAGGAGGTTATATGTAGATCCTTGTAATCGGTTCCCCCTTTCCACCCCACCCTTCCTCCATCCTCCTAGTATCACCACTCTCACCACTGGCCCTGGAGGGATCATCCTCCCTGGATTCCCTGTATTTCCAGTTCCTATCTCTACCAGTGTACATCCTCTGGTCTAGCCAGACTTGCAAGGTAGAATTGGGATCATGATAGTAGTGGTGGGGTGGGGGGTGAGGAAGCATTTAGGAACTAGAGGAAAGTTGTATGTTTCATTGTTGTTACATCACACCCTGACTGTCTCATCTCCACCCCGCGACCTGACCCTTCCGTAAGGGGATGTCCAATTGCCTACAGTTGGTCTTTGGGTCTCCACTCCGCACTCCCCCTCATTCACAATGATATGATTTTTTTGTTCTTTGATGGGGTAAGTGCTCCCAGTCCCTACACATCCATTGTGTCAAGCACATTTGTACATCTGTTGCCATCATCATTCTCAAAACATTTTCCTTCTACTTGAGCCCTTAGTATCAGCTCCTCATTTTTTTTTCTTCCTTCTCCCCTCCCTCCCTCATGAACCTTTGATAATTTTTTGTTGGGGCAAGTGCTCCTGGTCCCTACACATCCATTGTGTCAAGCACATTTGTACATCTGTTGCCATCATTATTCTCAAAACATTTTCCTTCTACTTGAGCCCTTAGTATCAGCTCCTCATTTTTCCCCTCCTTCTCCCCTCCCTCCCTCATGAACCTTTGATAATTTTTTTTGTTTTAAAATTGTCAGTATGATCTCTACTTTTCTTTTCTTTTTATCATTTTATTAGGAGCTCATACAACTCTTATCACAATCCATACATACATGAATTGTGTCAAGCACATTTGTACATCATTGCCCTCATCATCCTCAAAAGATTTGCTCTCCATTTAAGCCCCTGGTATCAACTCCTCATTTTTTCCCCCTTCCTCCCCACTCCACCCACCCTCATGAACACTTGATAATTTATAAATTATTATTTTGTCATATCTTGCACTGTCCGACATCTCCCTTCACCCACTTTTCTGTTGTCCGTCCCCCAGGGAGGAGGTTATATGTAGATCCTTGTAATCGGTTCCCCCTTTCCAACCTGCCCTCCCTGCACCCTCCCTATATTGCCACTCTCACCACTGGTCCTGACGGGGTCATCTGTCCTGGATCCCCTGTGTTTCCAGTTCCTATCTGTGCCAGTGTACATCCTCTGGTCTAGCCAGACTTGCGAGGTAGAACTGGGATCATGATCGTGGAGTGGGGGGAGGGGAGGAAGCATTTAGGAACTAGAGGAAAGTTGTATGTTTCAATATTGCTACATTGCACCCTGACTGGCTTGTCTCCTCCCGGCGACCTGACCCTTCTGTAAGGGGATGTCCAACTGCCTACAGATGGGCTTTGGGTCTCCTCTCCGCACTCCCCCTCATTCAGAATGATATGAATTTTTGTTCTGATGATGCCTGATACCTGATCTCTTCGACACCTCATGATCACACAGGCTGGTGTGCTTCTTCCATGTGGGCTTTGTTGCTTCTGAGCTAGATGGTCCCTTGTTTACCTTCAAGCCTTTAAGACCCCAGACGCTATATCTTTTGATAGCCGGGCACCATCAGCTTTCTGCGCCACATTTGCTTATGCACCCACTTTGTCTTCAGTGATCATAGAACCTTTGATAATTTATAAATATTATTTTTTCATGTCTTACATTGACCGGTGTTTCCCTTCACCCATTTTTCCGCTGTCCGCCCCCTGGGAGGGGGTTGGATGACTTACTTTTGACAGGCACTGATAATGTGGTAAACTAATAATTTGTTTATTTGTCCTGCTAGACTATGAATTTCTTGATATCTTGTGATAGTTTTGTGTCCACTTGGCTGGGCCAGAGTTCTCAGTAATTTGGCAATAATCCCCCATGATGTGATCTGGCACAAAGTAATCAGTTACATGATAGGCTCTAACCCAGTGGTTTTCAACCTGTGGGTCGCGACCCCTTTGGGGGTCAAATTACCCTTTCACAGGGGTTGCCTAAGACCATCAGAAAACGCATATTTCTGATGATCTTAGGAACTGAGACACTGTTGCTCTATCCATCTCCAGGCGGGTCCACCCACATGCAGATATGCCCACGTATGAGTACCCATGCTGCACCATGCTTCGAGACAGAATTTCATTTATTTATAATTAGAAATAAATATTTCACAATATATGATTGTATACTGTTTGTGTAATTAATCACTATGCTTTAATGATGTTCAATTTGTAACAATGAGAATACATCCTGCAGATCAGATATTTCCATTATGATTCATAGCAGTAGCAAAATTACAGTTATGAAGTAGCAACGAAAATAATTTTATGGTTAGGGGTCACCACCACATGAGGAACAGTATGAAAGGGTCATGGCATTAAGAAGGTTGAGAACCACTGCTTTAACTTAATGTCATGAACTCTGTGAGCAGCCAGGTGTTGAATCAAGGTTACATCCTTGATTCAATGGGAAGAAATACTCCTCGGGGCGTGACCTGCTCATTTCTAAGCAGACTGGGTGGGAAAGCTTGTTACTGCTGCTGAGTCTAGATCCTGAACTTGATTTGTCCACCTCCTGCCATACTGCCTGCCAGTACCAGAAGCCATTAGTGGTCTGTGACCTTGACTTCACCACCAGTCTTCCTGCTCCCTGGCTCATCTACCCTCAAAGCTACGCCAGTGAGAAGAAGCATCTAGTTTAACACCTGACCCATGAACTTGAATCAGATTGGTCTCACCTATTTCTACAACTGTGTGAGCCATTTCTTGATGTACATTTCTTCACACACACACACACACACCTGGCTTTGCTTCTCTAGAGGACTCAGCTAGCTAAACACCTATCTCCCAATGTTTGCTACCATTCTGGATGTTTGGGGCATTAATGACTGAATGAACATATATTTCATGGAAAGAAGTTAACTTTTAAATATATGATAATTAAAACAATTCATTTGAATCTGTCTTTAAAATGGCTTCTGATCCGGCTTTCGCTTCACTTGTTCATTTGTTTTTAAAGATAGTGAAACAATTAAAATCGGCTTGAGTACTGCCAGCAATTTCCCTTGGGCTTTCAGTCCCGGAAAGAAATCATCTAATAGATGAACAGTACTCCTGTTTCTGGGTGACTTCTTACAAAATACTAGTTACTCTGTGGTCTCCACATTGTGTAATGTGCTGGAGAAATGTATGCAGTTCATTTCTATTTTATTCCTTATAAATATAGATAGATATAATTTCCAGCCAGAGATTGGACACCTTTGAAAAAGTAAAAATTTAAATGTATATTACAAAGATCCCCATTGCCATCAAGACTGTCCTTACTTTTAGAAATCCTATAGGACCAAGTAGAACTTTAAAAAAAATTTTTTTCAAACCAATGGCCTCACATTATTTAGTGTTAAACTGTTGATGCAGAAGCATAATAACCCAGGAAGAAACCAGA